TTTAAAAACTGCTCAAATTTGGTTTTTAAACAGGTTTTTTTTATAGGAGAGGGAGCGAACGAGCATACGGATCTCCTGATGGTAAGTGACTACCGCCGCCCATGAACAACTGCTACACCTAGGGATTTTTAGGTGCGATGCCGGCCTTTTAAAAAGGAGTAAGCTCTTTTCTTGAAGGTCCCTGTGGATGGTATTGGAAGTTTTGTCGCGATGTGCGTTGAGTATGAGTTCATTCTGATCGGCTCGATTCACTGGCGCTGCGTAGGGACGTTGTATCCCTTTGCAATTTCTATTGAATCTACCACGTGCAGTGCTCTGAGGAATTGTTCGGATTAATTCCAGTCGCCAAATTTCACGGACGCACATTGCGTCAAAATTCACGAGACCATCCTCAATATCTGGATGCTTGGCGATCCACAACTGTGTATTTTACTAGGAGTTTTCTTCCTCGTACAACTTCTCTGTGGAATTGTTTTCGGACCAATACTACTTAGGGACCTTCAAGAAAATAGATTACACATTTGGGAAAGGCCGGCAACGCATCTGCAATTCCCCTGGTGTTGCGGTTGTTCATGAGCGGCAGTAGTCACTTACCATAGGGTGACCCGCATGCAAAAGAAAAAAAAAATAGTATGCGTTTAAGCATATTCACTGTAAGAGGTTGCCGTTGCCTAAAAGCACCACATCTATCCTCGATTTGGTTAAGAAACAAAATGTGGATGCGTTGTCAACTCTGTGGTCATCATCATCATCATTACAGCCCTTCACAAGTCCACTGCTGAACATAGGCCTCCCCCAAAGAATGCCACAAAACACGGTCCTGAGCCACCTGCATCCATCGACTTCCTGCATGTCTTACCAGGTCGTCACTCCATCTCGTGGGGGGACGCCCTACACTTCGCCTACCGGTACGAGGCTGCCACTCGAGAACCTTTCTTCCCCATCGGTTGTCGGTTCTTCGAGCTATATGGCCGGCCCACTGCCACTTCAGCTTACTAATCCGTTGGGCTATGTCGGTCACTCTGGTTCTACTGCGGATATCCTCATTCCTAAGTTTATCACGCAGAGAAACTCCGAGCATAGCCCTCTCCATAGCTCGCTGAGCGACCTTGAGCTTCCTCATACGGCCAGCAGTGAAGGACCACGTCTCAGTTCCGTAAGTCATCACTGGCAACACGCACTGGTTGTACAATTTCGTTTTAAGGTTTTGAGGCATGTCTGACGAGAAGATGTGTCGTAGCTTCCCGAACGCTGCCCAGCCGAGTTGAATCCGTCGATTGACCTCTCGGTCGAAGTTGGACTTACCCAGTCGGACTATTTGTCCCAGGTAAACATACTCGTCAACAACTTCGAGCTTAGTGTTCCCAACAACTATCGGCATAGGTGTGACATGGACATTAAACATGATCTTAGTTTTGTCCATGTTCATCTTAAGACCTATCCGTTGGGAAACACTATTGAGGTCATTGAGCATAGTGCTTAGGTCCTCCAGCGATTCTGCCATAAGGACTATATCGTCGGCAAATCGAAGGTGAGTGATGTACTCGCCATTGATGTTGATACCGTATCCTTTCCAGTCCAGAAGCTTGAAAACGTCTTCCAATGCAGCGGTGAAGAGTTTCGGGGATATGACGTCACCCTGTCTTACACCTCTCTGCAATTGGATAGGTTTCGTACTCTGGTTCTGTACTCGGATAGCCATCGTAGCCCTACTGTACAAGCACTTCAACACTTCGATATACCGACAGTCAACTTGGCACCGCTGAAGGGACTGCAGCACCGCCCAAATTTCGACGGAATCAAACGATTTCTCATAGTCCACATACGCCAGACATAGTGGCAAATTGTACTCTTCGGACTTCTGTACAACTTGCCGAAGGGTATGTATGTGGTCTATGGTGCTAAAGCCTTTTCGGAAACCGGCTTGTTCGGGAGGCTGGAAGTCGTCAAGTCTGCGCGCGAGACGATTCGTAATGACTCTCGAAAACAGCACGTAGACGCGGCTCAGAAGGGAAATCGGTCTGTAGTTCTTCAAGAGAGCGTTGTCACCTTTCTTGAAGAACAAGACCACCGCACTTCTGCTCCACGCCTCCGGTGTAATGCCACCATGGAGGACGGAATTAAAAAGCTTCTGAAGGACTTCAAGTACCGGTCTTCCACCCGCTTTCAGAAGCTCCGCTGTAATTCCATCCTCGCCTGGGGCCTTACCGTTTTTAAGGTGCTGGAGAGCCATCCTATTCTCGCTCAGACTGACATCCGGGATATCTTCGGAATAGTGTCGGATGAGACTCGCTCTTGGATCGTTACTCACACTTGCGTGTGGCTCCAACGATGATGTGTACAGCTGCCCATAGAACCTCTCAATCTCACTCAAAATCTCAGGTGTCCCGGAAACGATGCTGCCACATTCTGTCTTCAGCTTTGACAGTTGGCTCTTTCTGGCAGACAGATCTCTGGCAAAGACTTTGGAGCCTTGGTTCCGCTCGATCGCTTCTTCAATACGAGCTGTATTGAAGTTGCGTAAGTCCCGCCGCATGCATTTGGAGATCTGTCTGTTCAGATGCCTGTATGCTGTCAAGTCTGTTGAAGAATGTAGCTTCATCTCCCGTCTAACAGCCATGAGATTAAGAGTGTGATCGGAGAGTTTTTGTGTTCTTCTGCGGCGGGTCTTGCAGAACTTAGCTCCAACCGCATGGACAGTTTCCACGAGCTTGTCATTCATATCGTCCACTTCATTGCAGTCTTCTAGGCACTGAAAACGGTTTTGTAACTCGAGCATTACGAGGGGGACGGAGCGTTGACTTCATTAGACGAGACCTCTCCAACTTAACGTTTAGGTTCAGTGTGCCTCTAACCATTCGGTGATCGCTACCAGTTTTCACCCTCGCGATCACGGAGACATCACTGAACAGTTGTCGTCTGGTCGTCATAATGAAGTCAATCTCATTTTTTGTGGAACCGTCGGGGCTCGACCAGGTCCACTTCCTGTGGGGCCGCTTCTGGAAGAAAGAGTTCATCATAAAGAGTCCCTCTTTCTCCATGAAGTCGGCCAGCTGCTGGCCCCTTGGGTTCCGTTGCCCTATTCCAAATTTCCCTACTTTCAGCTCACCGTTCTCTCTTGTGCCTAGTTTTGCATTGAAGTCTCCCATTAACACCGTATATTGGGTTTTGGAGGAATGCATGGCTCTAGAGATATCCTCATACATTTCCTCCACCTCCTCATCGGGGTGTGCCGAGGTTGGTGCGTAAACCTGTATGACCTTCAGCGAATACCGTTTGGTGATTCTGAGTATAAGGTACGCAACCCTCGTCGACACACTCCCGATTTTTACAACGTTGTTAACGAGAGACTTGTGGACGATAAATCCGACACCTCCTTGGGACAGATGGTCGCCCTCCCGGTGATAGAGCAAGTTGCCGGATTCGAGGATTACCGTGTCCTCCCCCTCTCTTCGGACTTCAGATAATCCTATAATATGCCAGCGCAACTTGTCTATCTCTTCTTCCAGCTCCACGATCTTCTCGTCAGTCCTCAGGGTGCGTGCGTTGTACGTTGCCAGGTCGAGTCGTCTAAGGTGGCAACCGAACCTCCACCGGAGATTCTTAGCACCCCCTGCCCCGCCGTTACCATGGTCGCCACCGTAGCCAGGAATAGCGGGGCCGCCGGGGACTGGGGGCCGTCTCTTTGTTACTCTCTTCATAGGGGGGTATTTGCCATAGTTGCCACGCTTGGCGAGCGGGTTGGCAACCGCAGTTTTTTTATTGTCATTTGGCTATTATCAGGAAGATGCTGCTGCCCATCTCCTGGCTGTTTCCCTTTGTCGCCTTTTACGACACCCACGGGAGGATATGGGGTAGTGGATATTCTTGACCGCCACTACACGGCTTGGTAACTTGGCAACTCTGTGGTATTACTTTATAAATTGGAATGGAGTTTCCAAAGTTCCAAGTTTGCTTATAAGTACGAAAGCCCTTTTTAAAACTTAAGTTTTTTTTATCAAATAAGACATTGTTTGCATAATCATTATTATTGGTGCCCATTAAAAGTCCTCTGCTAAACATTCTTCAGCACCTGATAGTAAATAACTACCGCAGCCCATGAACATATGCAACCATTTTCAAAAAAGACTACAGGTGTGATGTTGCATGCCCTGTCATTTGGTGGCAGAAATATTATTTCATATACAGGGTTATTTTGCAATATACTCCCAAATTTGCAGAGAAACTCTGTATTCTGAAGGTATGTATTCTGAATACGTAATATAGGCGAACAGTGAAGAAAAATTGATTAAAAAATATCAAACGTTCTATCCATTTTACCTTTTTAATTCAGAATGCATGGTAATTCGTTATTGTAACTGATTGTCGTTCATAAATGTCTAACGCCTACTATTTTACTACGCACGCACATTCTCGTATTCGTATGTGTCACTCGGTCAGCAAAAACTTTGATAATCGAATCGCACACAGGAGCGCGCGTACGCGTAGAAAATCTATGGGATTTGAGATATGGGATATGGATATAGGAATGAGATAATTTCAAATAAAAGTAGAAGCCTTATTTACCCGTATTTTCAAAGCTGCAATAACGATATATCATTATTTATGTGACAACCTGGTAAGATATGCAGAAACTCGGTGGATGCTGGTGGCTTAGGACCGTGTTTCGGGCATTTCTTGGGAGAGGCAGACAGACTTGTGAAGGGATGTTATGATGATGATGTTTTGATACCAAAAATAATTCATAATAGTCATTAAGAATCATGATGTAATAATATGGATGTTAGTAATAAAAAGGATTTTTTTATTATAATACCGATCTATCCACTATTTGTCTACGAAAGATCTTCTTTCGGCCGCTGTCTATGATATTGCTTTGTTGATCCTCAAAGCATAAATCCTGAAATGTTTTGTAAATCTGTCGTAGTTATTAATGCTCTTTAATATATTTATGCAGCAGTAATAACTAGGATCTTAATATAATTCTTTTTATTTTCCAGCTAGTATGGCATTTCTCTGTCAACCTATTGGCAGCATATTTTCGGGCCCGTTATTAGATTACTTCGGGCGAAGGAAGGCTCTGTTCCTAGTGAACATACCGCACGTTATCGCATGGCTACTGATGTACTACGCATGGAACGTGCAATCGCTGTTCATAGGCAATGCGCTTTTGGGTATTGGCATAGGAATAATGGAATCACCTTCTGTTACATACATCGGAGAAGTAACGTAAGTATACCTAAAATACGTTTTACTTAAGCGGCTACTTTGTAATTGACACCTACTTATTATCTTTTTTTTATCATTGTAATTAGGAGTGCATTTGCGAAGAGGCTTAAGTACCATAGACCAGATACCTACCCTTTGGCAAATTGTACAGCAGACCAAAGAGTACAATCTGCCACTTTATCTTGCGTATGTGATGAGAAAGTTTTTGATTTGGGCTTTACTACAGTCTATTCAGCGGTGGCAAGTTGACTGACGGTATATCAAAATGACGAAGCGCTTGTATAATAGGGCTACGATGGCTATCCAAGTACAAAACCTATCCAACTGTAGAAAGGTGTAAGATAGGATGACCGAAACCGAAATTATATTACCGAAACTATTCTATTTATTATTGTATTGGAAGACATTTTCAAGCTACTGGAATGGAAATGATACGGTATTAACGTCAATGGCGATTACATCACTCACCTTTGATTTGCCGACGATATAGTCCTTATGGCAAAATCGCTGGAGGACCTAAGCACTATGCTCAATGACCTTAATAGTACCTCCCGACAGATAAGTCTTAGATGAACATAGAAAAAACAAAGGTCATGTGCATCATCCATGTCATACCTATGACGGTAATTGTAAGGAGCACTACCCTCGAAGATGTTGATGAGTATGTTAACCTGAGAAGGTCTGCAATGATGATATATATATATATATATATATATATATATATATATATATATATTTTCATTAGTGCGTATAATAGCCATGGCTCCAGTAAAAGGGGTCTCGGGTTTTCTACACTCACCACACGAAACAGCTGCAAGCTAGTACCCTGATCGAACAGACCCATTCATGCTACAACCATAATATAGCTGATGCTTTTTAATTTTCCGTAGTTCTAACTATATTTTAAAACACGTAACCAATTTCGTTTCATTATTTCAGAGATCCTTCCCTTCGTGGGTTCTTGACTACCCTGACGAATGGTTTTACATCTGCGGGCATGTTTGTTGTGTACTTGCTTGGCACGGTACTTCCATGGAGACAAGCAGCACTTGTGTCCCTTAGTGTACCTCTAGCAACTATGGCGTTGGTACTTTTGGTAGGTAAATATGTACAGTAAAACAAAATAACATTCTTAGAGTTAGTAGAAGTTCAAATGAAACAACACTTACAAAATTAAATTTTTGGAACGAAGTTCCTTATTGCGCGGTACGAATTTGACGGATGGAGGCTAGGCGAGAAAAAGTGTAAGATTTTTCCGTTACGACCCCCTTTCTATAGTGCGAGTGAGATATCCATCTCCCTCGCACTTTTGCATGCCTTAAGCGAAAGCGCAAGGTATGTTCTACTATCGCCTAAAAATTAAGATTCCAACGTTTTATCGCATGAAATCGTATCTAGCAATCATATTATACATATAAATGATATAAAAAGCACATTATTAGAAAGATAAATGATTGTTGAATTTATTAATATTTTTTTTAAATCGATTGATTGCTATTTTTAAATGAAAATGGGGTTTTAATGGCTCATGGTGTGGATTTATCAAGGTCGCAAGGCTTATAAACACGATAACTTTTGAAAATATCTATTGTTTAACTCAATTCATTTTTTAATCTCTTCATCTATCATGTGGGAAGCCACTGAATGTTAACCAAATGGCAGTGTAATTTTGTTTTGTTTAGCTATAATAATATTTTTTCGGCTGCGAAATGGCGAAAATTCTGTGTATTCGGGAGCCTTGTATGAATAAATTATTACTAAATAGAGACAGCGTCACTCAGTCCGGCGTCAGTTGCCGTCGTGAGTGGACATTGTAACGGTTGTTTGCAGCGGCTCAAAAAGATCGCTGTACAAATACACAATATTCGAATAACCAAAAAAATACTTGATTATAATAATAATGACAGATTTTTTTATTACAATATTTTAAAAGCACAGAATAAATAATAGTAGTACCTACTAAAAGTAAGTAGTATCAATTTTTTCGTCATGGGTGTCATTTTCATGGTTTTCGAGGGTGTTGAAGCCGATATGGTTGTCGAAATGTAAATCCAAGATGGCGGCTGCAATAGGTATCAATTGTTTTATCATAGGTGTCATTTTCATAGTTTTTGAGGGTGCTGAAGCTGATAGTGCTCTCTAAATGTAAATCCAAGGTGGCGGCTGCAATAGGTATACATTTTTTCATCATGGGTGTAATTTTCATGGTTTTCGAGGGTGTTGAAGCCGATAGTGCTGTCGAAATGTAAATCCAAGATGGTGGCTGCAATAGGTATCAATTTTTTCACCATGGTTGTCATTTTCATCGTTTTCGAAAGACTTGAAGCCGATAGGGTTGTCGAAATGTAAATCCAAGATGGCGGCTGTAATAGGTATCAATTTTTTCATCATGGGTGTAATTTTCATGGTTTTCGAGGGTGTTGAAGCCGATAGAGTTGTCGAAATGTAAATCCAAGATGGTGGCTGCAATAGGTATCAATTTTTTCACCATGGGTGTCATTTTCATGGTTTTTGAGGGTGTTGAAGCCGATAGAGTTGTCGAAATGTAAATCCAAGATGGCGTCTGCAATAGGTATCAATTTTTTCATGATTGGTGTCATTTTCATGGTTTTAGAGGTTGTTGAAGCCAATAGTGGTGTCGAAATGTATTTAAACTACTTTTAAAAATTCCGTAAAATCATGTTATACGTAATTTTTTAATGCGCTTAGGACATGCCCAATTGGATTTATCAATTTTTCTTATCTTACCATGAAAGGAATATTATTTTAAAAGACGCTTTATTTTAATAGACGCTAGTAATTAATTTATTTGTATTTGTTAATCAATAATATACTACGTTTATCAATTATAACATACTACGAAAGGAACTTCGTTCCAACTAAGTGTTTTACGATACTCACGCATATTTTTTGCTTTATTAGAAAAGCATCTCTCATTTTTGGAGACCTTTTAAAATCGAAAACCGTTTACTGGCTCGGTTCAAGCTCCATCACTTGTTGTCTTAATCCGACCATATGTGATAGTATTTTTTGTTAAAAAATAAAATAAATAAAATATTTCTTGGTAGTATCACAAAGTTATATTTAGTTTAATTTAAACATATGAAAGTATATACGGTACTTATTACAAAAACACAAATTTAAAATTTTTGTATGTCGGTCTGTTTGTTCCGGCTAATCTCCAAAACGGCTGGACCGATTTCGACGGGACTAAGCTGCCAGATAGCCGATGTTATAAGGAGTAACTTAGACTACTTACATTTTCGAAAAAGAATTAGGGTTCCGTTCCGCACAACATAATTATAACCCAAAATTACACGTGGGTGAATTCGCCAATAATAGCTAGTGGTAAATATAGCATGATAAGGGAGTAGTTTTTGTCCAGAAATAGTTTATTTACAGATTTATATAAAGAGGTCTTATTTATCAGAAAGAGGATTAGGGCAAAAAACTTCAGGGGTGATAACGCATCTGTAGTTTGATTATTAATTGAGGATAAATGAAAGCCACAGCACACATTTAGCACCAGGTGGACTGTGTGCTCGTTTGTTACTATTATCCTATAATAATAAAAATTAATACAATACATTTAACTTTAACGTGAACTAACTTCAGGTTCCTGAAACTCCGATCTGGTTGCTATCCAAAGGTCTCCAAGAAGAAGCGTTAAGGTCGCTATGTCGACTCAGGGGATGGACTAAGCCAGAACATGTTAAGGAGGAGTTCGAGCAACTGCTTCAATATCACGATGTTATTAAGCAATGTGTTATCTGTGCAAAAGAAGGCAGAAGTGAAACAGACCATTGCAAACATTCAAATTATAACATCATTAAGAGGATTATATTTAAGATCAAACATATATTACTTGTAAAGGAGACATTGAGGCCATTCGCACTGGTTATGGCCTACTTTTTCTTCCATACTTTTAGTGGTTTACATCCTGTTCGACCGAATATGGTCAACTTCTGTAAAGCGTTGGGGATGAAGTATGATTCTAAAACCATTGTGGTAAGTGTAACAGTATTATTTATCTTATTAATGCGTCCTAAGCTCAAGAACCAGCTAAAAACAATACTTGTACATTGTACAGTAAAAAAATTAATAATATTGATTATAACACAAACATCATACAATATAAATGAGTTAAGAATAAATGCTTCTGTTTTAATGTATGATTTCATAGACAAAACTAAGCTACAGAACATTTTCGCCACACTTGTATTATTATTATCATCATCATCATTACAGCCTTTCAAAGTTCACTGCTAAACATCTCCCCCGTTGATTGCATCATGGCGGATATCTCATAGTTTCCTAGCTCAGTGGGCGAGTTTGCAACCGCAGGTTTTATTATTTTGAATTATCAGGAAGATGTTGCTGCCCATCTCTTGTTACATTTTTCGTCAATCGCCACTTACAATACCCATGGTACCATATGGGGTAGTGGAATCTGTTACGTCGTGACGTCACTACACTGCGAATTCTTGTAGTAGCAATTGAAAAATATATTATTCTATCACTTTCGCTATGTCTGTCACTGTCACTACAGTCATCACAAGGCCACTGTTGAACATATTATACATCCTCCTTAGATTGCTACGAAGTACGGTCCTGAGCTACCTGCATCCATCGAATAACTGCGACCAGTACGAGGCTGCCACTCCACACACGAACTAAGTCCAATACTCTTCCGACACTATTCCGTTAATATCTCAGTCGTCAGTTTGAACGAGATCATAATGACTCTCTAACAACTTAAGAAGAGCAAAGCGCCGAGTAAGGATGAAATTACAACAAAACTTCTGAAATCAGATTCTAAAGTTATATTTGAACTTCGTCAAGAACTATTTAATTGTGGTATTTTGCAAGAAATGTGATAAAACTCTTTTACAGAACTACTGATCAATATGCCTTCTTCTACGTCCGATTATGTAAGTCCGATTGGGACCAAGAGGTTCCAATTAAGCTGGGCTGTGTTTGGAAAACAGAAAGAAATATTCTCGTGCGATATTCCTCAGAATTTAAAGATTAGTTTACCACCGGTGCGTGTTGCTGTTTGCCAGTGATGACTAACGAAACTCGAACGTGTTCCTTCACTGCTGGCCATATTATAAAGCTCAAAGTCGCTAAGGGTACGATGGAAAGAGCTATGCTTGGAATTTATCTGCGGCATAAAATCCGGGATGAGGATATCCGGAGAAGATCAATAATATATTATTAACTAAGTAAAATTCTAACTTCAGTGGTTTGTATTATTTGTATAGTCCATCATCATTGCAGACCATCACTAGTCCTCTGTTAGGCAAATACCTATTCTAAAAATACGGTATGAGGCACTGCTCATCAGGTCATGACTTGGTCTAATAAAAGGTCGAGACCTTATATTAAATAATATCATTGTTTTTATTTAATTTTGATAAATGAAATATTTTTAGGTAGTCGTGGGAGCTGTATTCATAGTTATGAATATAACCGCAGCTATAATAGTAAAAATGACGGGGAAAAGAAAACTGGTCATTGGTTCCCTTTTAGCAACAGCTTTTTGCAGCCTTGGTATTAGCGTCTACGCAAGCAGCAAAATACCTGCATCCGTCTTCTCTTACGAAGCTGACACGTTTCCCGAAGCGAAAGAGACTTTACCAATTATACTTTTTATGGCATTGGTGTGCTTTACGAGCTTAGGAATCCCATGGGCTTTAGTAACCGAAGTTTTTCCTTTTAGGTAAGTAATAACAGCTTATATACGTCCCACTGCTAGTCAAAGGACTCCTTTCTGAGAGGGTTGTGTAGCAATTAGTCCCCAGCGCTGCTCCTGTATCTTGAGAGTTTTTATATGTCTTCTAAATATTTTGATGCTCAGACATGTGAGTTTCATCACAACGTTGTACTTCACCTTTGAGCACGTGATAAATCAGCACATAATATTGCAGCTGACGGCTACTTTGGTGCCGGTGAGTATTGAATCTGTATTGATCGCGTATTGTAAAATTTATGGCGAGCACTTTTTAGCTAATTAAACTAAAGGACATTTGACAAATTGGGCTCAGCGTCCAACAGAGTTATGGCATATGCCATTTTAAAGGATTTTCTTCGTACTTAAATTGTTACTATCGGCACCACCTTCAATGGAATGGAATTTTTTTTCTGGAATTCTGCAATGGAATTCATTGCAGAAAAAAGATATGCACCTAAATAGGTTTTGTAGAAAAAGACAATTGGTAGTCATAAAACTGTTATTGAAACAATAAATTCATACTTTAAAATAATGGTAAACAATAGATGCGCCTGCACCCGTGTGATTTACAACACTCTATCCCTCACACCTTTCGGACGTCTGCGCGAGCGCCCATCCCTTCTAACTATATTATACTACTACACGCTCTACTATATCTTACTATATCTCTATATCCCTTAGGTCTTGATAAGTCATATTGCAGCGAACATTTCCCCAATGGTTTATATACGATAGAAATCTATCGTGAAAATGAATTACATGATTTGGCAGCATGCAATATCCAACACCAAAATATGTGGCTAAAATGAAATAGGTCCAGATGCCATCGCTCAATATTACTGCTCGTGTCTAACAGGTAGGCGCACAGTAGGAAGTTGTGCATATACCGTTTCAATAATATGGTACCTATATAAGGTTAGGCGCATACAATTTAAACCACCGGAAGGTCATCTAAACGACATTATTATTGATATCGATTGAAATGTTTTTAACTGATAAACAGCTGTTATTAGTTAAAAATAAAAATATTTTAAATGATAAACAGCTGTTTTATTTTTTATATATTTTTTGCACCTGGAATTAAAACTGGTATAATATGTCAAACAACAAAAAGTACAATGTCATAACAGCATTACTTTGCAGGATTATAGCTTATTTATGGTAGGAGGAAAATATTTATAGAAAAATAACCCCATGGATTCTTCACATAAATGAGTTTATATCTTTATATTTATTGCAGTACAAGTATATTCAAAGTGGTCTCATCTCTGTTGGTGGGTGAGCCCAGGCTTCATACATTTTTGCTCATGGTCCTTTGAAACTACACCGTAAACAAAATATTTTTCTTACTAATGTCGTTTCACATTCTTTCACATCTTTTTTATTAAAGAAGAAATTAAGTAAGTCTGCTTCCGCTTACAAATAAAAAAGAGCACATTGAAAGTATTCTGCAGTTCCAAACACCGGCAAATACAACCTCAACAAGAAATTTCTGAAAGGTTGTGGAGCAGATAATATTTCACAAGCTACTCCAGTGCGGTTTGGCTATTTCACACCTGTCCATCTATACATAAGCATAAAAAGGTCCACTGCTGCTGAACAAACGTCTCCCCTAGGTTACATCACATAAGCAGGTTGTTTGCCAAAATTCAGCTTGTAAGATGATTATACCACAATCGAGGAAGAAAAAAAAAGGGAAAAAATATAGAAAAAGTTATATGTGATAGAAAAGGATGTGCAATATGTCAATAGAGTTAGAAAAATGTATCTATTGGATGTCTCTGACCTCTCTGGAGTCGAGAATCATGTCAACTAATGGTCAATAGTTGAAATGTGACCTGGTGTAACCCTTGTTTGCAAAATGTATTGCCGATGTTTTTACGATCTTCACTTATGTCTAGGAAGTTCTTCGCCGACTTTGCCATACATTTCTGCGGTATAATATTACTTAATAATTATATTCACATATTGTTTATATTTAATTTACAGGAGTCGAGGTACTGCAACAGGACTCGCTGCAGCTTTAAATTACTTCATATTTTTCTTAGCAACAAAGACGAATTATAATTTAGAAGCAACTATCCACATAAGCGGTACATTTGCAATCTACTCAGCTCTTACGTTCATTGGAACTGTGTACATGTATTTTTTCTTGCCAGAAACTGAAAAGAAGACTTTAGCCCAAATTGAAGATTACTATAAAGGAAATAGAAAAATATTTGCTGATGATTTTCTTATCAATGCTTTCAGAAAAGAAAAAGGTGTCAATCTAGAGGCAAATAAACCTATGCTAGTTAGTTAGTTGTATCAGTGCGGTTAGGCTGTTGTAGAAAATTAAAATTGAAATTTCTTAGTTTCTTTTCTTTGAGTTTTTTTACTCGTTAACTTCAAAGACAAATGCTCAAATTGTAATTGTCTTATAACATTAAATATTGACTAAAATATTGCATTTTTATTAATTTAACAAAATATTAAAATTTTAAGTCGTAGCAACAATTAATTCTATAGCGTAATTTTTAGATCATAAATGTGAAATTATTGTCTAAAGAGTTTGGTACAAACCTACAATCTTACCGATTTATATTAAGTTAGTCTATTTTATGGACCACCTTGAGAGTCGATCAATTTTTGTTTCCTTGTATTTCTGTTGTCTCTTTGTTGACTGCAATAGGCGTCACTTTTACAAAGCAATTTTCACTTTTACAAATATTACACAAGGCTCTAAAACCAACCAAAAACAAGAGCCCTTCGGATGACATCGTTCAAAGAACCGTGCCGTGAAAACTTACCAGCACTTTTCTTACATGGCCTTATCTTGGTCACTATAGAAATTATAAAACAAATCTTACTGCACCTTCTGTACCAACGGAATACCCACTGTTTATGTTGTTTAACTTTCAGTGGAACATTTTCGCTGGGACAGAGCGTTTGCCATGTCTGCTTTGCCTGCGTAGCAAAACACAAGTCTACTTAATTATTCAAAATTATGTTACATAAATCACTGACACTTTGCACAGAAGCAAGGAAAGCCTAAGTATGTTCAGAGTTCCACTGCGTGATAGATTTTGAAATGAGAATATCCAAAGTAGAACCAGACTAACTGACAAAGCCTAACAAATCAATAAGCTGATAAGGCAATGAACTGACCATATACGATATAGCACATAGCACGAGCAACCGACATCTGACACCAATACCACCAAAGTTTATAAGTAAAGTAGCTTGAGTCCAGGCTGTTGTGTTTAAAGTTAAATTTAGAATTTTTTCCGTCACCGTTCTCTCTTGTTCCTACTTTTGCATTGAAGTCTCCTATTAACATCGTATAGTGGGGTATGGAGAAATGCATGGCTTTAGAGATATTCTCATACATTTCCTCCACCTCCTCATAGTGTTGTGCCGAGGTTGGTGCGTAAACCTGTATGACCTTCAACGAATACCGTTTGGTGATTCAGAGTATAAGGTATACAAACCTCGTCGACAAACTCACAATCTTTACAACGTTGTTAACGAGTGACATGTGGACGATAAATCCGACACCTCCTTTGGCCTGGATTCGAGGATTACCGTGTCCTCGTACTCTCTTCGGACCTCGGATAATCCTATAATATGCCAGCGCAACTTTTCTATCTCTTATTCCAGCTCCATCATCTTTTCGTCAGTCCTCATGGTGCGTGCGTTGTATGTTGCCAGGTCGAGTCATCTTAGGTGGTAACCGAACCTCCATCGGAGATTTTTAGCACCCCCTACCCCGCCGTTACCATGGTCGCCGCCGCAGTTAGGAATAACGGGGCCGCCAGGGACTGGGGGCCGTCTCTTCGTTACTTTCACGATATTTGCCATAGTTTCCACGCTTGGCGAACGTTTTGGCAACCGCAGTTTTTTTATTGTAATATTGCTGTTATATAGAAGATGCTGCTTCCCATCTCCTGCCTGTTTCCTACTGTCGCCTCTTACGACACCCACGGGAAGATATGAGTAGGGTAATATTGGGGCTTCTGCATCACTCACATCCGTTCGCGATGCAGTTCGCCCCAATATTACACTAAATAGCTCTACATTTCCATTTTTTTTAACTAAGAAGATGTCTTCTCAATTCTGTATCACTTTTAACTCACAGCGATTTTCTACTTTTTCATTTTTTAAATTAAGCAGATGTCTTCTCAATTCTGTGTTACTCTTTTTAACTCACAGCCATTTACCATACTCTTTCAAACATTTATTTATATAATCTAACTCTTTCACGGCGTTCACATAAAAACATTGGGGATAATGTAATGTGTGTTGCATCCACGGATCATCGTAAATCTCCCAATCTCTAATAACTCCGCCACAGGAAAAACAAGCAGCTGTATCATTTATGCTATCGCCAAAATAAAAGAATCCCCCATAAGCCATTTCACTGCTTCTCTTAAATCACTCGTTGCCCAATAATGGCTAAATGAAAATAAGCGTGTTTTATATGAATCATATAAACTATATCGGGGTCTGTATTCGTTTTGAGTCATATCCCTCATGCTTTGTGCAGGTTTGATCTTGCTGGTTGCAAGAGTATAATGAAGCTGCAAAGCTGCGCTGATTCCATATAAACATTTAAAAAAGTTGCTGGTGGAGAGTTTTTTTATGAAATAAAATAAAGAATATTTCAAATGTTATTATCAGAGCACCATTTATTTAAACAAAAAACATTTTTCAAAGCACATACTGAGTCGTGATTAATACAACTATACAAATCTTTACAATCTTTATATCGATCATACAGATTTAACAAACTAGGACATCCTTTATCTTCTAAATTAATTATATTATCATTTTGTAAGATGGATTTTAACCATAAAACTTTTTCTAAACCTTTGACGTATATACATTTATCCTTTATATTATCTGCTATTAAATTCTGATAATTTAAATAAGGTGTTACTCCCTCACTCCAATATATCTTTCTATTACGTTGAATCCAATTTACATGTTTCTTTTTTTTTACAGTCAATTTGTAAAAAGGAAATGGTGGTTTAATTAAAAGTCGTTGTATTTTATTATTACACAATATTGCAATTTCTTTCACTATGAATTCATTTCTTTCTGTTTTGAAACCTTGGACATCTACGATAGCAGTCATGTCAACTTGCGCACTATGTTACTTAAAGGCTTATATTCCACAAGTTGATTGTTAATGATTAAACAATATCCAGTTGTCCTCTCTGGTATTGCCGTTGTACATTCAATCTTCAAACGAACATCTACGCGTCCGGTTTTTAGACTGTCGTTTTGTCTTGTACAATCTATCACAAATAGCGGAGGCTTCTCCTTAAAGCTACTTAAATCAAGCAATGGGTCTGCGGGACAGTTGTAGTACGACTGGCGAAATTTCACATACATTTCGTATAATATATTAAATTTGTTTTCGGAAAACTTTAAACATAAGGGCTCGTATGGGTAATATTGTAAATTCAAAAACAATGTCACATTTCTCACTCCACAGTGATCAAATACTGAACAGTCTTTCATTTTTTGATTTTTTCTGTTTGTTTGTAAACAAAAAATTACATATCGAGGTTTCTCTTCAGTCTTCACGATCTGATACTTTCACATGTGGCACTCGCCATTTTATTCTTTGTATGTCTATTTGAAAATGTGCAACATCTTCAGTTCCTATAATACTATTTATGTTAGAATTACTTCTGTTCAGTATAAGTTCATGTTGACAATTTATTACAATTTTAGCATAATCGTCTGCAAACCCTAAAATCTTATTTAAAGGTAGCACTAAAATCACCGTTTTCACTTTTAAATCCATCCATGTCAAAATTTTCTGCTTCATTCATTGAAATGTATGATTTAATTGTTGACGTTATACCAGCATTTTTAATACGATCTATTTCGATTCCATTTATCTCATATCTTATGTCTTAAAACAAGAATATAATAGGATTATTACTGAACGTAACAGGTTTTTTAATCTGGTTTCCATCTTTGCTGAAAAGCTTTGCACGACCTTCGATGTAAATTGAACTGGTTGATGGTAATACATATATGTCTTGCTAATGTATGGGAATTCTTATTTCATCGTTTTCTCTAAAATTATTATTATATGGATTATAAAATGGACTTCATAACTTTCAATAGAAGTATCGAAGTTTGGTAAGTCATTAATCTGTAGTATATTCATACTTTAAATCCTAAGGACTTTAGAAAATCTTTATTATTTATACTCAGGGTCTTAAATTTTTTCTCACGTCTTCGCACCTTAGTGAATGTAGAAGTAATAGGGCGCTTTAAGTAGACTGTAGGGTATTTATAGTGCAATATCATTTTACTTTCCTCAAATGGAGGCGAATTTCAATATATTGTTCTTTGAAATTAATTCTGTAGCCAAATTGATCTAAAACTTTAATAGTTATAGATGTAATATTATTTTTACTCACTGGGAAGTAAATAACGTTCTGAGGTATTTCTATGTATTGATTATCTGCAGCAGTTTTAGATACAAATTCGTGAATAATATGAGTAGGTAACCTATTGCAATATGAGCCGTATATGAGATCACATTCGATTCTGATCACAGATGGGAACTTGCTATCAACATAAGAATATTTTGTTGTTGAGTTTATTACTGAAAAATATAGTAAACGCGGCGGTTAAAAGTAGGAATCCAATTCTGATTTATTTCCTGAGATAGTAACTGTTATAGACATGCTTGTATACTGAGCAATTTATGATGTTCTTGTTTATTTTATGTCTTCATTGCGCCAAAAATTCTCCAAAAAAATCAAACAAAGATGTCCACAATTAAAGGGATGATCACGCTGTATGTTATCATAATTATAGTGGACTTTAGGACCTAAATATTTTATCAATTCTATTGGAGGTTTAAGATTTCCACAACTGCCGAAATATTCAACATAATTATTAAATTTTACATAGGCTACCCAATGAGATCCCAGATTTGAGGAAATATCTAAATTTATAACTCCACATTCTTTTTTAAAAGTGTGTGTTGGGAGCTCATCTCTCATAAAGGGAATATTTTTTCCATACTTCAAAATGTCAATGTTAGTTAAGGCGCGTTTGGGTAGCCTATATTCTTTTTTTATTTCTTTAGATACAAAAATGCCAAATCCATTTTTATGAGGCTTAAACTGTAACCCACTTCCGATACGAAGAGCTTCCATTTTTTCATTGTGTCTCTTCAATTCAGCAAATTGTTTTTCAGCCATTTTGATTTCATTTATAGTTTTAAGTATACCAGCTGCACCACCTGCTAAGGCTCCCGTAGCCGATAATCCGGCAAAAATCGGAATCAAAGGTAGTAGGCTAGCTCAATTGCTGCTTTCTTGCATTTTGGTTTTAATTTTTACATACGTCTTTTGGTTTTTGTAATGATATTCTTAAACTTATTTTTAAATTCAACCCAACTTTCTCGGAGACATTTTATTACTATTGCCATTATTTAGGCCAGCCCCAGTTTTAATTTTTGATTGCATAGCTTTGCTTATTATCTTTGCTGCTAACTTTTCTCCCAAATTTGCGTCGGGAGCAATCTCTCGTGTTTTTGCCATTTTTAACAAAACTAAATCCGCCTTATGTCGGTCCTTTAAGTTTTAATATTTGTGATACGCAATGTCGTGTTCTTTACAATATTCGTCTAATTTGTTTATACCTTTGACTCCACGTGATAGTTTTTTGATTAAATTTGTACCAGGACAACAATAATTGTATCCCGGTAAATGCCATTCAAATGGTAAATTATTAATCAGCCAATTGAGAAGACTACTCTCACCAATGCACATCAGAAGACTATTTAATCGCGCTTGGGATATTTATTAAATATACGATTTTTTCTTATTTCTTCTTAATGTTAAACACAGTGGTCAGTAAGTCTATTACAATATATTTGACTTATCGATCCAATTGTTTTCACTACACGATAAACCTAGCCATTTTACTAAAACTTTATTTCCTTTCCTTCTTAAAACTTTTTCGACTAAATAAATGTTTGGATTTTTGGTCTTTTGCTCTTGCGCATAAAATCCTCCTAAAATTGGTTGCCCTCTAATTGTATCTTCAATTAAGTAAGTGGTTGGAATTCCGTTCTGTAACTTTCGAATTTTAAATATTTCTGTCGACCAATTTGGAGTATATAATTTTTCGAATGTACCTTTGTATTTGCTTATACTCAAGCTACTGGACTGGAAATGATACGGTATTAACATTAACGGCGAGTATATCACTCACCTTCAATTTGCCGACGATATAGCCCTTATGGCAGAATCGCTGGAGAACTCAAGCGATATGCTCAACGACCTCAATAGTGTTTCCCCAGGGATAAGTCTTAAGATGAACATAGACAAAACAAAGATCATATTTAATGTCCATGTCACACCTATGCCGGTAGTTATTGAGAGCACTAAACTCGAAGTTGTTGATTGGTATGTTTACCTGAGACCTGGGCAGCGTTCGGGAAACTACGGCACATCTTCTCGTCAGGTATACCTCAAAACCTGAAAACGAGATTGTACATCCAGTGCGTGTTGCCAATGATGACTTATGGATCTGAGACGTGATCTTTCACTGCTGGCCGTATTAGGACGCTCAAGGTCCCTTAGCGGGCTATAGAGAGGGCCACGCTCGGGGTTTCTCTGCGTGACAAACTTAGAAATGAGGATATCTGCCAAATTTAAAAAGGACCCCCTGTAATATTAATTGTGAGAAATACAGGATACTTAGGAATCGCTGCAATACGATGTGTAGAGATGCGCAACGACGTCACATTCACAAGAGTATTGCGGAATCTGATCCCAATAGGGTTTGTAAATTTCTTAAAAGTTTGAGAATTGGCAAAAAGCGAAATGACTCCTTTCCTCCAGATTTAAACTTTGAAATGCTTAATCAATAATTTTCCCTTGTCCCCCACTGGCTACGTTTTAGTGACCTCTTCGGGGAAATCAAGGGTTTTGTCTATGCAATCAGGTTATTAAGTATCAGGTTATCAAGACCAGCAACTATCGGAGGTATCTCCGATACGGTTGTTATTCAACGTCACACAACGTCGACATCTGTCGAGCTTGTTGCTATCCCGGTGAATCTCTTAGGTATGTCATCTCCGGTTGTTTGGCGATTTCTAACTCTGAGTAACTTGTCCAGGCACAACCTATTAAATAGTATATTGTAGTAGGGTATTTTTGGTTGACATTACTATGCCGTATGACGAGAAACTCGTTAAAGTCGAAACAGATCAGCAGACAACTTATCTGGACCTGGCTCATAAGGTGACTGAAATGTGGGGTGGTCTACCGACCGAAGTTATAATAATCCCGGTTAGCTTCTCGAGTCATCTGAGCGGCTGGAACTCCGTGACGGATCACTTCGGGCTCAAATGCAGAAGGCGGTGCTCCTCGATACCGCTCGCATCGTACACCGAATGCTTTCCCTTTCATCCTAACCCTCAGCCGTTTGGTCTCCCCTGCTGAGGGCTTCCATCTGGTTGGATTTTATTTATTTATCTATTTTTTAATGTTATATTTTACTACATTTAATTTATATATTGATCCTTTTATTTTATATATTTATTCATCCAAACCACATGAATATTATCTATAAATACCCATAATAACAAAAATAATCATGTGTGTTAATCATTATAGAACTAACAGTATATTATATATTATAGTAATAGATCAGTAAGCTGACAAACGATGGTAAAGAAATCTTCTCAAGTAACTACCGGTAGTACGGGACTGCCACTTGAGAAGATTTCTTCATCTTAGCGAAGTTTAGGACGCTCCCCACTAGATAAAGTGATGACCTGTTAAGAGATGTAGGAAGTCGATCGCTGCAAGTGGCTCAGGACCGTGCTTTGTGGTTGTAGGATTTCTTCGGGGATGCATATATGTTTAGCAGTGGACCTAGTAAAGGGCGGTATTTATTGAGTTTACAGAAAGATGAAACAAACACGAATATTGCATTTATTCATAAAAAATAATGTGAAAAAGAATATCGTTAACAAGAACAGATCAAGACAGATTATGCACTGAAAATTAATTGAATTTATTGAATGCAATTGAAAATGTCTTAGTGTGGGAAATGATGGCACTCACCTGTTTATAATCATCGTTTTAACCTTTTCTACAAACGAATTCTCATCCAGGATAAAATATCAATGCCCTTAAATTAAAAATCTTAAGATGAACTTAATTGGTAATAATGGCGTTTTAAACATAACTTGTAGGCTGAAAATGTACTCGAAAAATGTGGTGTGACGATTCGGAACATTAATAAGTGAGATAGACTATAATTATTTATTAAAATTTATTTATTTAAACCCTTAAATATTACTTTTATTTAGAATGGTTTCTTCTCGTCAATCGTTTTAACTTGTTTATCACCGGATCATTAGCAAACGTTTGTATTTTATCACTGTTAAAGAACACTTCTATATCTTCTAAAATCATGCCCTCTGTCTCTGGTAAGAAAAAGTACAAGAAAATTGTGCCAAGAAAGCCAAATGCAGCGTAAACGGCAAAGGTGCCCCACAGCCTTATATGGGTTTCCAGGTCAAGTAGAGTTTTTGTGCCGATGAAAGTGAAGACGTAGAAGCATGCTACGGAAATACATTGAGCAGATGCTCGACTTCTGTTGACAATTTCAAACATATATTATTAAAATTAAAATGAAGTTTTTTTCAACTGTAACTTTTGAGCTCAGACTACAAATAAACAAAAACATAGAGTACTAAATTTCTTATATGCACAGTTATGTTTACCTGAATTAATTAGAATAGCTTTTTATTCAATACAATCTGTATTGAATAAAAAAATTATCCCTGGTTCTGAAAAAACCTCTGTCCTAGGAAGAACTAGTAAGAAACTCAGCGGAACATTTATTTCAAAAGTATTATACCTACCATTAAAATTTTACACAAGGTTGCACATAATTATAAAGTCAATGTTTAAAAAAAATAAAGTGGAAATATTTTCTGCACCTTTGTTATATAAGCAATGTATACAACATTCCCTCAAACCACTTCTGGTAAGCTTAAAATGCTCGTGTTAGAAGTGTTTCACGAGAGCAGTCGAATGGCGGATTCAAACCCACGATCTTTCTATTATAATATATTATTTTTGATAAACGTATTATATTATTGATTAACAAATACAAATAAATGAATTACTGGCATGAAATGAAGCGTCATTTAAAATAAAATAATATTTCTTTACAAGATAAGAAAAAGTGCTAGAGAGATGGATATTATTTCATCTCCTTTCCTATAGCCGCCAAGGCCATCTACAAGACGTCAGAAGAGGTCAAAAATCTTACATTTTTTGTCGCCTAGCCCCCATCCGCCAAATTCGTACCGCTCGATAAAGAACTTTGTTCCAAAAACAAGCGCCACTTATTGAGCGAATCCTCTTTAGTCCAAAATCATTTTATGTTGTAATTTATACAGGGTTATTTTTCAAAGAGTAGCGAAATTTTAAACTTAAGCTGAAATATATAAATAAAGAGATACCGTTATTGCAGTTTTTGAAAATACAAGTAAATAACGCTTCTACTTTTATTTGAAATATTATTAAAGTGATTTATGGGCAACAACATTTTTGCCTACCGATCGACCCTTACGAAAGTGTGCGTGCGCAATAAAATAAGATAAAATAATGCATTACCACGTATTTTGAATTTAAAAGATAAAAAGGGCAGAATGTTTAAGATTTTTTCTAATTAAATTTTATTTACCATTTGCCTATATTACTTATTCTGAACCTTCTCTTCAAATTTGGTTCACCATCATCTTCATCATTCCATAATAATACTTGTCACCCATATCACTGGTACTAAAATGGAATGCCTCGTTACTAGTTTTTTTTTTGTTTTTTTTTTTTTTTATAAAAAACGTTATCCCCACACTAGGATTTTCTCCTGTGTCGTGGAGGCAGTTTACAAACATAAATTGCACGAGGCAAACATCCAGACCCGGATTTGTAGGCCATACAAATAATTGTTCTGTGTGGGCTTCGAACCCGCGGTCCCCAGCGCAACAACTCATTACTAAGCCACTGCGCCACGGAGCCGTCTTACACGATTCCGGCTTTCTACACTCATTAAATGAACAATAGCATCATGTTTTTTTTTTTAATTTTACATTGGTGTTCTGTGTTACATTCAGTAGTGAATTTGTGATGGACTGTACAGAAGAAGATTATATTTTTTATGACCTCAATAAATATTTTTCATTGATTAATATGCAAAATCTATATTAGTAAATAAATTAAAATGTCTAGTTTACCTGAAGGGAAAAACTTCTCCGAGCAGAACCCACGGAATGTTGAACCCAGTACAAATAACGAATGAGTAAAATAGAATTAAAGGTATATAACTCTGTTCCTTTGGAAACGTTGTGGTGTCATAGGAAAATACTGAGTCATTTAAATTTTTTCTGGCATATACGCTTAAAGCTGCACAGGTAATGGCTGTTCCAAACATGGCAGATATGGCCATTTTACGTTTTCCAACTTTCCCAATCAAAATGATGACGAGGATGGTTGTACATGTCGTTATAATGCTGACATATATCTGGGGAAAAGCACAAACATATATCGGAAATGTATAAATTTATTTTTTGATTGTAATGAATGAACCAAGCGGCCTGCGTGCGGCTCCTAGGTTCGAATACCAGCTGGGGTCAATAATAGCAAACAAAAAGTTTACTCTAATTTCTGAGGGGCATATGAAGCAATTAGTATGTCGCGCTGCTTTATTGCATGCTGGCGGACTTTACATGTTGTCGAACCAATTAATTCTTCAAATGTTGTTCACCTTCGAACTGTTGGTAAATCAGCACTTCAAATTGCACATACTTATTTATAAAAAAGCCATTCGTTCGCATAAGTTGTGTAAAGACTATTAACGATATACTTAATCGCACCTACCTTATAAAATTTAATAAAAGGTCGGGTTAAAGTTTCTTCGTATTTTATAAACAAATTCAATTTTTTTTTAAGTTTGATGACAGTTAATTATAATATAAATGCGCCATTTTGTTCGATATCTTGTTGAAATCGTGTAGGCAATGACATAATCTTGTTACTGTAGAAATTCGGGATTTTTGATCAAGACAATTGGAAATTTTATACAACCGACTTCAATATAAATTATTAAGGATAACTATTTGTCAGACCTTGATCAAATTTATATGGAACTACATGAGAAGCACCAGCTTTCAAATAAAAAAAGAATCATCGAATCGGTTCAACTAGAAAAAAGTAATGAGTACCTCTTTTTCCACGCTCTTGTGCTTTTCATCAACAGTAATCAATTTTTTCAAAAATGGTTCGGTTTCATTACGTTTCAATATAAAATCGCAAATGAGTTCACGATTCATTAGGTTTCTTTCAGTGAGCTCGTGTGGTACCCAAACATCAACCTTTTTTGTACAGTCAGACTTTTTCAAATGAGTCAAAATTGTTTTGTGGTCAATCCTCAAATCCTCGGCTATGTCGTAACTGCTCATAATCCGATCTTGCTCCACATTTTCAAAAATGTCATCTACTTTATCCGTATGAGTGCGACCAGAGCGATCTGCATCTTTGACAACAAAATTCCCGGACTGAAAACGCTTAAACCAACTTTGTGCATAAACCAATCTTACTGACACTGCATTACGTCCATAAACGTCACAAGTTTTTTCGCAGATTGAGTCGCATTTTTCCCTTTTTTGTAGTAAAACTTCAGAATGTATCGAATTTCTACGTAAGATTCACTACACTTTGGCGAAAAAAAAACAATAGAAAAATGGCGCAATTGTGTTATTTACTTTTTATTTTTATTTTTATTAATGTCTTATATGTATTGATATTAAAACCAGCCAGATACAAACAGTACAACCAAAGAGATATTTCTTAAATTTTATATAAACAAAATACGAAGAAACTTTTCTTTTATTTTTACATTAAATAAAATTTAAATCTAATAATATTCTGATATGCATGTCACTTATAGGTGTGTACAACACTCACTAAAGACGTTATTTCTATTAGTCTAACTCACTACCTGCTTTTAGTAGTGTGGATCATCACAAATGGCGGAATGCGAGGCTATAAACGATTCGGAAAGCCCGGATTCGGGTACCGCATAAAATAAGAGCAACCAACAGAACGATAATAATGATTATCGTTCTGTTGGTTGCTCTTATTTTTTCATTTAAATCGTTAAATTATTGCAAAAATGGGGTAATAAAAAGCTACACAAGATTGTAGCAGTGAATCACAAATTAGCTATCGATGTTGTTAGCATCTCGCAACAACCGGCTGTAGTGTCATGATCTTAATATACCAAAAAAGTAAAACTGGTACATTAAAGTTTAGCATGTTTGATGTAGTGCTAAGCGTACATTAACGATGAGATAGTTTGTGAGGATAAACTGTAATTGCCAATTTTAGTTCGGGAGTTTCAAAACTAACTATTCGGATGGGAAAATTTTGTAGTAATTTTTTTATTGTTTTAAAGAACGTAAGTATTAAGTATTAATAATTAAAAATCTCAAAATATTTTTGGAGACCTAGTGTAGCGACACCAATTGGGCACACGTACATTTTGTTACGTTGTCATTATCTGTATAGCCTCAACCTCATATTCTTATGATGCGTCATAAACACCTAAAGATATTTAGAAACAAGTTAGCGTTAGAAATAAATTAATCTTATTAACTCTCAGTTTGTGTTAGTAACATACTTAATTTTATTTCCTATCCACCTAGACACCTCAGAGTAGTAGTGTGAGATTAGGTGAACATTAGGTACACAGTAAATCTAAGACCATATGCTGCATTTTATACCTGTTAAATTTTAAAAAAAGTGCATGATCTTTTTCGAACTTAAATTAGTATTTTTACAAGTACATAAGTTTCAATGAACTTTGATGTCTAAACTCCAAATTCGACATAAATCAAAATTGAAGATCGAGGAACTTACAATAAAAGTATTTCCGTCCTGAGCCATACCAAAAGCGCCGCAGATGTTCACTAAGTTTGGTTGGATAGGCGTGTAACCACTCATAATAGAGAACCAGAAGTAAGCTATTGTAAAAATCAGCGGTCGGAGTGTTTCCTTGCTAAGCAGCACGTATCGGAACTTATACATAAATCTGAAAAAAATGAAGGCCGAAATTATAAAACAGAAGACACGGTTTACAAAATTTATATTTTATATCTATACAAATAAATAAAATTGAAGTGTCTGTTTGTAATGTTAAAATACAGCTTTTTACTAAATGGATATGAAATTATATAAGGCAGTAAAAAAAAAATATTTTAAATTTTTAAATAATAAAATTAAAACCTATGAAAGCCAATCGTAGAAAATTCCATGCGGACAAAGTCGCGGGGAATTACTAGTATTATAATATTGATAAATCCAATTGTGCATGCCCTAAGCGTATTAAAAAATTACGTATAACATGATTATACGTAATTTTTTAAAGTAGTTTAAATACTCGTACACACATGTTTTCACTAATAACCTTATTATTATACTACCAATTTTCCAATAATATTATGTCAAACTTCAATTTTTTTCCATCCTCATTTTTTAGACATGTGAAGCCTAAATTTTAATTTAATAAATCAAAAGAATACAACA